TGCAGGTCACATCTAATGGCTGCTAATGAAGACACTATTGTGCCAAGTATTCATTAAAGAAATAGGACATGGTGTACTCACATGCTATAGGCCTTTTCACAGAATACACAGAAAAGAGCACATACTGCCCACCGCGTAACCATGTAAGTCATTAGTACTCCATTCTTAGACATGGGATCCGTTTCAAAACCTCTTTTATGATGATGTCCACTGCCTACATATAAGCATCCCAATCAAAACAAAAAGTGGAAAGTTCAAAAATGAGCTAGGCTAAGCTAAGCAAAAAAAATCTATTGTTTAGAAAAATTAGCTAATTATTTTTGAGGTGCATTGTGGAATTGAATTAGTGCACTCGATAATGTTCACTATGGTTTCAGACACCACTACCAATGGTTGTCCACTTAAAACAGTGCACTACCTACATATTGGGATATTTCGGACACAGGTCTTAGCTAATTACACCACAAGTTACATGGCAAAAGTAGCATTCACTGCCATTCACAAATCCTCTCCTGTGGCCTCATGGGATAGAAAAGTGTCCTTTAGATGCGCACTTCTCATTTTGCCTGAAGTAGTAGGTTATCTGAGGACTTTTCGCATATGAACACAATGAATTCGGACTACTGTTTTCACATGCTGTTTTTTGCCTATATAGTAGGAATATATATATATATATATATATATATATATATATCTAAAGCAGCCATTGTGTGCACCACAGCTACTTTGTACCTTTTGCTATTGCCTGTGCACTTTTTATTGTAAGACATGTTGTAAGCAGACAAAAATAATACCATCGACGCAGTTATACACAATACAGCTCTGCTTGCGATCTGTTTATTATTCATAGTGTAACACGTCACGCTCTGGATGTGGTGCGGAGGACAAATTTATATCACAGATCTAAATCAGCATGTGAATCTTTCCTAATGACATTTTAAAGGGTTCAAATGCACTTTTGATGTCTCAGCCAGGTCCTAAACCAAACACCGATGCCTGGCGTAGAGGCCATGTTTATCTGTGCTGAAACAGTGCCTCATAAATTCACAAGCCGTGAGTGCAACAGGCATGGACACATGGACCTGTGCGCACATGGAGGAGGTCACAACCTTTGTGAATCAAATTATAGATAGCCGACATGAGGTACTGGAGTCATAGATGTGCTTTATAGCTCATTTATAGTATACTGATCTAAGAAATCTTGAGATGTATTATGAGAATCCAAGCGCTGTTGAAGCCATCTGCAAGAGTAAATTGAATCTGCAGACAAAACAAGCTATAGAGCATCTTCAGAGCAGAGCTACAGAAGGTCTTCTACACAAATCCATTAGACAGCCTCTAGGTCTAATATGATTTTGTTCGGCTGTATTAATTTTTTTCAAAAATGTAAAAATGCAATTCATGCATACAATGACTTGAAAACACCTCTTCTACCATTTTTTAATTCTGAATTAAAAAGGAATTTTCCAATTGTGGGGGTGGCATGAAGTAAAAAGGATATCAGGATTATACATCTATGCTCTATATGACTGATATTAATGAAGAAAAAGGCACATTAAAATAATAAAATGATTGAAAAGAAAGTCTTATTAAGTAGTTGGACACTGGATTTTAATTATTAGAAAAAGAAATACATGTGGGGAAAAAGCATAATAATTAGGTAATTTTAAAACATGCCATGTGCACTTTCCAAAAATGCAATGAAGGATATGAATTAATAATTAATTTGGATCATGTTCATAAACATCAGATTTTATGCATGTATGCAGACTGAAAAAAAATGAATTGGACTCGGCCTTGGTGAAAGACTTTGTGCAGTTTGTGTTGTTAAAACTGCCTTTCCATCCTTTCTGCATATCATTAAAAAAAACTGCATCTTTATAGCAGAAATTGTATCACAACGCCATCTGCTGGCTAAAGCTGTGTTTGTGTCATGGAGCTTTTTATAGAAATTAGACTCGTCACATTTCTGTATGAAACCTCCTTGTTCCTTTAATAAAATAATATTAAGGTTTTACATGTATGAAATCCTGATTTCAGTAAAACCAATAACGTTTAAAATTGTGAGAAAGTCACACTGTGAGAAATAAAGTCGCAATTGTGAGAAATAAAGTTAAATATAAGGTCATCTTTACAAGAAAGTCATATCATTTTGAGAAAATAAAAATATGAGATCGAAACACTAGTGTAAGATTAAAAATTGCAATTGTTTATTTATTGTACATTTTGTATTGCATTTGGACTGTGTTGCATTTTAAAACTTATATGATTGTAAATGTTACATGTTTATTCGAACTACAAGTTGTAGTGATCTCAATGTTAGATATCCTCACACGGGGCACCACTGAATGTAGTGATTTTAGATCTAAGTAGCACCACAAGTGTGATGGCTTTGGGCTTAGTAATATTAATGTTTAGTTTGGTCACACTATTTTACGGGGCGCCAGCCAGGAATTTCACCCTGACAGAAAAGAACAGTCATGGAAGAGTGTTGCATTTTAAAACTTATATGATTGTAAATGTTACATATTTATTCGAACTACACGTTGTAGTGATCTCAATGTTAGATATCCTCACACGGGGCACCACTGAATGTAGTGATGTTAGATCTAAGTAGCACCACAAGTGTGATGGCTTTGGGCTTAGTAATATTAATGTTTAGTTTGGTCACACTATTTTACGGGGCGCCAGCCAGGAATTTCACCCTGACAGAAAAGAACAGTCATGGAAGATTGTTGAATAAATAAGAATTACATAAACTGGACGAAGTTGTAGTTTGACCAATCTGAAGGATTTTAGAGAATCGTTAACTTGTAGAGCCTCTTACTGTATTATCAACACAAGGAAGACACAAGTGTAATAAAAGGGGTTTTATTTAACAAAAGAATAGACAACAGTAACTAAAATCTACTGAATGGGTGCAATGAATGGATAAAGTGCAAAAGATTGATTGAGTTGGATGTTACTATGAACGTTATCTTATGGAAAGATAAACTGAAGTTTCCTGAAAGTAATAAGGTAAACCTTATTCTAGATCCAACAAATAAATCGAGAGATTATATGTTATTAACTGACATCAGTTATTTTAAAATCTAATGCAAATAAGATGATCATATACTGACAATACACAGTAATGCCAAGGGTCTCTGGGGAAGAGATTTGGAAAGACTGATAGTTACAGTGGGAAGAAAGGAGTTGGATCCATTTCACGAAGCACTTGTGAACGATGAACTCCTGAGCACTGAGAAGGCCCTTGGTCTGGAAACACGCAAACGGAGGAGCCTTGAAGGTGAAGGTTCTGAAGTCTGTACAGAAGATCTGGACAACCTGGAACACGCAGGAGAAGGACCGCTGACCAGACGATTCTGAAGCTGTTGCAGAAGATGGGGGGGCACTAAGCTTATGGTCGTTGTTGCTGTTGCTGTTTCCAAACTCCTCAAGTTCGCTTCTTGCAGATCTTCCTTGTTTGTCCTTGGAACAATTTAGCTTAGCAGCTTAGCACTTACAGTAGACATGACTGCTTAGCACACTTCTTTGTCTTGAAGAGAACTTTTTAATCTTTCTTGAGAAGGAGGGATTTGCAAGTTGGCGCCTTTCAGTTCCTGCGTTTTGATTGGCCGGTCCTGTCAGAGGTGGTTATGGTATGGCCCCTCTCTGACATGAGGTCTATTTTGCATTGCTCAAAGTCCATGTTTAAAACAACGTCTTTAAGGTTTATCCAGTGCATTATTAACTTTCCAAACCAATTCCAGATTAGCCTACACATTGTGCTGAAGACCAACGAAGACCAATCATCAATGGTTAATGCTGATCATTTACCCATGCATTCATATACACAGTATATACCTTAATAGGTAAGGCTGCCTACATTGTTGTATCACAAACAGCACTCATTAAGTATATACAGTTCTGTAAATGGATATGAAGAAGGTTTAATCGATAATGTGTCCATTTTGTGTGAATGTGTGTGAAGATGTGTCCTTCCCTTGTAGCTTCACCCACAAGGCAAAACCAGTTTGGTCAGTCTGAGGTAGTCACTTAGGTCTCAAGAATGAAGGACTGTGATCAGTGAAAGGGCACATGGTGATTGGATCAGTCTTTGATCAATGAAATGCTTAAGTCCTCATTCCTGCCTTCCACAAATGATAAGCCTGAGGGAGAACAAAGCAGTTCCTTCCTGGGGGTTACTGTAAGTTAATGTTAACCCCCCCATCTCCACATGAGGTAGTGTTGTTTTATCTGACAGCAAAAGCATCCTTTGTTGTCCACAAAGCCTGATCTCATCCAAATTACATGTATGACTATAGCTGGCCCCGTTCTGGTCTTATGTAAAACCAGACAAGTTTCAGCACTGGTTGCATATGTCAGCCTGAACAAAACCTTAACCAAGCCACTTTACACAGCCTTGGCCCGCATGAAAAATGTCTCAACAATGACAGCATTCTGAACAAATATTTATTAATGTTTCACATCAACACACTGACACATGACATTTTACAATTTTTTTTAAATCTCTCTTCCACTCCCTTCCGCTATCAGCTCTGCAAATAAGAATTTTCCAAATTATACAATTATTTATAAATATATTTTAATATAACAAAATGATAATCAAATGTCAATGACAAGAAGCTATTTTTAGCTAAGCTGATTTGGAATTAAAGGTATGTGATGATAATGAAATCCATTCAGTATTACTGACCATGCGTATTTGAAGCCCTAAAAGGCAATAGCATCATTATTTACCTCAAGTCAGTTCAGTGTGTTATATATGCAGCTCTACAGAAGGCAGCAATGTCATCCAATGGTCTCAGTGCAGTTACATTTATACATTTCTGAAAGTTAAGTGTCTTTAGGGCCTTTCGCACCGCTTTAGTTCCAGAACTAAATGTACAGTACTAAAGTACTGGGACGATTTTGCGCGAACTATTTCCCAGTACCATTTAAAGGGTTGCATTCGCACCGAGAGTGTGTACTAAGAAGTAGTAAGCCGGTCGACTAGTTCTGGTACTATGGAAAGGTTCCCACGGTGCGAAAGGCCCTTTTCAGACCCCAAATAAGTAAACAAAGGTGACAGTGGCAAGGAACTCAAACTCTATCAGGTGGCAGAATGGAGAAAAAACCTTGGGATAAACCAGGCTCAGGGACCAGTTCTCCTCTGGCCCAAGCAAACAAACACAATGTGGTATTGATTAGGATACATTACACCGGCGTTAGGTAGGAAAAGGAGATGCAGCAGGTTGGAATATGAAGGTAGAGCTGCCGTTCAGCCGGTAGTAGACAACTAATTTATCAGTGGCCTTAAGCACGATGAATGACCTTTTTGATAAAACTGTGCAACGGTCCTAGCTGGTCCTGACATGACTCGTTCATAGCTGGCTGTTGGGATCTGTGCCGAGAGCTCTTCTAGTTGCTGAGGTCTTCGCTGAGGACCAGGATGACAGGATGGGTCTTTGCTGAAGATCTGTCCTGAGGGCTTGTCTCATCGAGGTCTTCTCTGGCCATGGAGGGCTGTGTTGTGGTCATTCCTGGGTGCAGGTCCACCATCTGCTCTGGACACTGACTGGATCCAGCTGACTATGGTAACCTCAGGATAAGAATGAGACAGACAGACTAATATAAGAATAGATGCCATTCCACTCACAATGTAATAAGTACATCGGGTGTTATGGGAAGTGCTCCCGGTTCCGGCTGACCTAATCAATGCAACCTAACAATTCTTTGAAGGATTTGAATTATAGAAATGTTATGTGTTATGTGTGAGCCAGGTTAAAGAGATGGGTCTTTAATGTAGATTTAAAGTGTGTGAGATAAAGCGTTTTCTACGTTGTTTACGCTTTGATTTGAACGAAAACAACGTATCCGTGTGACGCAGCTGACACAGAATAGCATACGCTGTTTGCGTTCAGTGGATACTCTCCAAAATGGCACCAGGGTGACGCGGAGGAGACGAATTGATGAATAAAGTCATTATTTTTGTTTTCTTTGAGTACAAAAAGTATTCTCGTAGCTTTGTAAAATGACGGTTGAACCCCTGATGTCACATGGATTATTTTACCAATCTCTTTGCTATGTTTCTGGACCTTGATCGTGGTAATTACTATGGAGCCTGATCAGCCTCAAAAATAATACATTTACAAAACAAAATTCATAAATGCACAGCACAATTTACATTTACAAGATCCGATTTGTAAATTCAAAACACAATTCATAAATAGTAAAAGCATAAATATTTCCCCAAATGCTCACACAAATGCATCTTACCTAAATAAATTGTAAATGTTTTCACAAATATGTATATATCAAGTTCTTGAATTAATTTCAATCACACATTTATGAATGATGTTACATGTATTTATGGATCGTTACAGTTTCGCAGTAACTTTTGATCAGGCATTGAAAACAGCTACCAGCCCCTAAGGGAGATTTTGAACACACACAGCGGAGAGATTTCAGCTTGGGGGATGAAAGAGTGAGTAAAGTCGCTTTTTTTATCTGATGGCATTTTCTTATGATTATAGCTGGTCGTGATGGTAACTTTAGAACCCACTGACTACAAACCGTATTTAAAATAACTCGATAGTTTATCATCGAAATCGTTGTTTTATTGATTGTTTATCGCCCAATAATCCTGTGATTACTAAAGTGTTCCTACAAACACCAGGCGTGGACTAACAACTTTGTAACATTGCAAACTGCACACTTAATTAACTAAAACAACCTTTAATCATAAGAAAATGCCATCAGATAAAAAAACGACTTTACTCACTCGTTGAGCGTGAGATAAAAAACAACTTTACTCACTCGTTGAGTCTGGTTTTCATCCTCCATGCTGAAATCTCTCCGCTGTGTGTGTCCGAAATCTCTGTGGTGGTGGTAGCAGTTTTTAATGCCTGATCAAACGTTACTATGAACCTGATACTACTACTACTACTACTACTACTACTACTACTACTAACAACAACACATTACATAATTGTTGTTATTAAATGAAATATCTGGACATTTGCTCCGTACCGCGGGGAGATGGTGGGCTGGGATCTGGGTCCGGAGTCGATCCGGCGAGATCCTCCACTGGGCTGATGGTGAGCGGCGACCCGTTTCTCACCAGAGTCCACTCCACGAAGGCGGTGAATTCCTCCCGAGGACCATCTTCGGACGACAACGCTCTGCACTCGGCGTTCAGGCTTGCGTCATAGAAAGAGCAGAGCGCGTCGTCCGGATAGCTGGTGATGTTAGCGACCAACAGGAACAGATTGGTATGGTCCTCAAGAGCTTTGTCTCCCTGCTCCAGCAGGAGGAGGAATTCGGGGCGAGTGAAGGGATCCATGGGAAAACACTACGGAAACAAAAAACTGAGTAAAACCCGGAAACAAAACGAAGGGAAGCACGGGGACACAACGGAAAGAAAAACATTGAGAAAAAAACGGAAAACAAACAGAGGGGAAAACACGGAAGTTACTGTTTGGTCGGTCCTTCTGTCACACTTCTCGGGAGGCAAGGAGCGAGGAACGAGGAAACGGAGATAACTTCAATTCACAGTCTTTAATGATCACACGGTGAACGTAGGAGACACTGGAACACAAGGAATGACATTTGAGGACCGACCAACACTAACTGAAAGGACTGGGGCTTTTAAACACTGGGTGATTGGGAAAACACAGGTGCAAGGAATGACTAATTAAAGGGAACACGGCACACCTGGGGGTAATTATCATGTTGTGTTGCGTGTCCGTTTTTCTTCAAAGCACCAATTTAAAATGCCTAATGTTGGTTTGATTGCTTGCGTTACATGAGAAAATAAATAATTTTGCCTACCTGATGTTGTAGATTAATGCGGGTTCGGGTCGCGACTCGCGGTTTTTATGTCAAACGGTTCTGGTCTGGTACAGAAATAAATTAGTGCTGTTGTCGGATAACGGGTCGGGTGTTCTGTAGGGCTGGGCGACATGACGATATTATCGTATATCGACGATGTTTCATAAGTATCGCGATGTCGATGTCAACAGTCAGGTAACAGACGATTATCGACATTATCGGGAAAAAAAATTACAAACGATAAACCTAGTAAGTTGCAAAAATATTTTACATAGCCATAGTCACCATACAGGTTTTTTTGCATGCAAGAATTAAATAATTTAGTAGGAGTGTTGGGAATCGGAAAGCTATTCCAATTTCGGAAATCAGATCAGATGCGCAAGGTCAGGAATCAAATGACTTGTTATAAAATTACATTTCGATTCTGCGAGCGGGGGCGTGGTGGAGGTGGGGCTTAGGTAGACGATATTATCAGATATCACAATATTTTTAAAGGCGATTATCGATAAAAGATTTTTGACATATCGCCCAGCCCTAAACTATATAAATCATAATGTGATTTTGTAGAAATTGTAATGCAGGTGCTAAAAAAAAAAAAAAAAAAAAAGAGTACACATTAAAATGAACAATACACAGTACAAGTGCAGCGTTGAGCTTCTTGAGTCTGTTCAGTAAGAAGCGTTTTGATTGGTGGATTAAAAGCTCACCGCGATTGGCTGAACGGAACATCCTCCAAAAAAAGATATTTATGAATCTTAACCTGCCAGGAAGGTCTCAAAAATACCACACACAAATTCAAAGCAGTCCACGCACATGTGACGATTTGCAAATGCAGATTCAACGATCCATAAATACATGTAACATCATTCATAAATGTGTGATTGAAATTAATTCAAGAACTTGATATATACATATTTGTGAAAACATTTTACATTTTTTTAGGTAAGATGCATTTGTGTGAGCATTTGGGGAAATATTTATGCTTTTACTTGCGTATTTATGAATTGTGTTTTGAATTTACGAATCAGATTTTGTAAATGTAAATTGTGCTGTGCATTTTATGAATTTTGTTTTGTAAATGTATTATTTTTGAGGCTGATCTGGCTCCATAAATTACATGGCTGTCTATGGGAGGGTCAGAGAGCTCTCAGAATTCATCAAAAAATATCTTAATTTGTGTTCTGAAGATGAACGAAGGTCTTACGGGTTTAGAAGACATGAGGGTGAGTAATTAATGACAGAATTTTCATTTTTGGGTAAACTAACCCATATATGTGCTGAATCCATTCCTTTTTTGTGTGAGTTTGACTTCCCAGATATCACAGGTATATCTCTAAGATGTCTGCTAAATTGCGCTTGATTTTTACACATCTGCTGTTTAAAAACATTTGATAACATCTTAGAAAAAGCAGTTTTATACACATTCTAAATTATAAACATCTTAAAGACATTTTATAAATATCTATTTAACAACTCAGAGGAAACGTCTTATAGACATATTGCAGATGAGCAAACACTCTATCACGGAGACGTAAAATACTAAATGTATTTTTTAGAATGTTTCCTCATCTGCAATGCATCTATAGGGCGATTCCTATCAGATGACAAATTTAAATCTCTTTCAGATGTTTATGATTTAGAATGTATTTAAAACTGACATCTTATCAGATGTTTGTACACAGCAGATGCTTTCCAGATGAAGCGATCTTTACATCTTGCATCTAACCTCTGCAGACATACCTGTGCTATCTGGATTGTCTGTACGCTCCCCTAAACATTGATCTACAAACTTGTAGATAGTAATATTCAGTATGTAAACAAGAGCATTTTCTTTCCAGACAACCCCTCCTCCTTCTCATTATCTGTCTTAGACCTGCTTTATTTCCCAGCTTTATTGCCCAAAAGCTCTTCCGCTTATCTTCAGTTACCTGAAGACCCTCAGACGTCATCATAATGTCATCATCATAACTCAACCACCACTGGTCACTTAACCTCTGCATTTCTGAGGGGTCATTCTGTCTCCTGCTGGTGACCCAGAGAGTGTTTACCTTGGTGCTGTTTATTGCCACAGATCTTCGCATTCTCTTGGAGAAGTACCTGGATGATGATGGAGATTTTCTGCATATGAAAAAAAGTGATTGAGAATTTATAATCCTTTAATGCAGAGCAATATGAATTGCATTATTATTATATGTGACGAGAAATTAGTCATTTTAATAAGTAACAGTTATCATAATAACTTGCATTTAAGATTAAAATTTACATTATAGCATAATATTATTAATAATATTAACAAATTCAGTAATAATAACCTGTACAATAAAATGCAATGCAACACAATGATGACTGAGAGGTATACAAATAAACTTTATTTATTTATTTTTTCAAAATAATTGTATCTGGGCATTTGATGTCGTTTTTCATCTGAAAATGTGTTTGTATCCGTTTTCTTATTAACGTAATTATATTTGGGGGATTCATTTCACGTCGCTATTTGAAATTGTTCTCATAAAAATATAATTTGTTTTGCTTAGTTGATTTAAAATTATTATTTTCAGCAAACTGGTGTGAGTTTCATTTTCCAACCTTACAGGACAGACCCTAGTCCTGACTCCAGTGTTTCCCTTGGGGAGAACTGACAGCCTCACTCAAATTTTCCAGGTGGCCAAGGTGCGCTCTTGGTCCATTGCTAGCCGCCCAGCACAGAGTGCTACAGCAGAGCTTCCCTGGCCTGTAAAGGCGGCCGTTCCCTACATTTACCGGCGGTTACAGGTTTCCTAGATGCAGAGTATAACAGACTGCATTATGGGCACATAGCTGGTTTGTCCCGCCCCGAGTTCTGCACCGGAGCTAGGAACCAATCCGACTTTAAGGCCAATTTTCCACAGATTTCTTTATTTTATAATTGTATCTGGATATTAATTATTAGTTTCTTTACAAAAAAATAAATAAATAAAAAATTTTGGCAACCTAGGGCGCGCCCTGTGTCCCATCCACCACGACCCTACAGGACAGACCCTAGTCCTGACTCCGAGTGCTTCCCTTGGGGTGAACTGACAGCCTCGCCCAAATTTTCCAGGTGGCCAAGGTGTGCAATGCGCAGAATTGCGCTCTTGGTCAATTGCCATCCAGCACAGAGTGCTACGGCAGAGCTTCCCTGGCCTGTAAGGGCGGCCTCTCCCTAATTTACAGGCGGTTACAGGTTTCCTGGATGCAGACTATAACATACTGCATTATGGGCACATAGCTGGTTTGTCCCGCCCAGAGTTCTGCACCAGAGCTAGGAACCAATCATAAATAAAGGTGAATTTGCCACAGATTTCTTTTTCTTATATAATTTTATCTGGATATTCATTTTTATTTTCGGTCACACTTTAGTTTAAGGTCCAGTTCTCGCTATTAACAAACCATTAACTACAACTTTTTCCTCAATAAAATCCTAATTTGCTGCCTATTGATAGTTAGTAAGGTAGTTGTTAAGTTTAGGTATTGGGCAGGATTAGGGATGTAGAATACGGTCATGCAGAATATGTGCTTTATAAGCACTAATAATCAGCCAATATGTTAATGATAGGCATGCTAATAAGCAACTAGATAACACTGAGAATTGGTCCCTATTCTAAAGTGTTACCTTAGTTTCTTTACCACAAACATTTTTTCGTTTTTTGGCAACCTAGGGCGCGCCCTGTGTCCCATCCACCACGACCCTACAGGACAGACCCTAGTCCTGACTCCGAGTGCTTCCCTTGGGGTGAACTGACAGCCTCGCCCAAATTTTCCAGGTGGCCAAGGTGTGCAATGCGAAGAGTTGCGCTCTTGGTCCATGGCTCGCCGATTGGTCTGTTTTATTCTGAAGATAATAACTTACCTGCAGAAGCCTCGACTTGATATTGCATATTGCAGAGTTCACACGCTGATGTGTGTGTATATCTGTGTGTGTGTGTAAATGCAAATGTGATTTACAATTTACAAAACTTTGAAACTAACATGCTTAAAACTTATCTTATAGTTTAACAAAAGTATTTTTGTTTGCTTTCATTCAAAATCTTACTTGTTGGCGACACTTCTGTCACCTTTTGTAGTTAGTAAGGTAGTTGTTAAGTTTAGGTATTGGGCAGGATTAGGGATGTAGAATACGGTCATGCAGAATATGTGCTTTATAAGCACTAATAATCAGCCAATATGTTAATGATAGGCATGCTAATAAGCAACTAGATAACACTGAGAATTGGTCCCTATTCTAAAGTGTTACCTTAGTTTCTTTACCACAAACATTTTTTCGTTTTTTGGCAACCTAGGGCGCGCCCTGTGTCCCATCCACCACGACCCTACAGGACAGACCCTAGTCCTGACTCCGAGTGCTTCCCTTGGGGTGAACTGACAGCCTCGCCCAAATTTTCCAGGTGCCAAGGTGTGCAATGCGCTGAGTTGCGCTCTTTATCCATTGCTAGCCATCCAGCACCGAGTGCTACAGCAGAGCTTCCCTGGCCTGTAAGGGCGGCCTCTCCCTAATTTACAGGCGGTTACAGGTTTCCTGGATGCAGACTATAACATACTGCATTATGGGCACATAGCTGGTTTGTCCCGCCCAGAGTTCTGCACCAGAGCTAGGAACCAATCATAAATAAAGGTGAATTTGCCACAGATTTCTTTTTCTTATATAATTTTATCTGGATATTCATTTTTATTTTCGGTCACACTTTAGTTTAAGGTCCAGTTCTCGCTATTAACAAACCATTAACTACAACTTTTTCCTCAATAAAATCCTAATTTGCTGCCTATTGATAGTTAGTAAGGTAGTTGTTAAGTTTAGGTATTGGGCAGGATTAGGGATGTAGAATACGGTCATGCAGAATATGTGCTTTATAAGCACTAATAATCAGCCAATATGTTAATGATAGGCATGCTAATAAGCAACTAGATAACACTGAGAATTGGTCCCTATTCTAAAGTGTTACCTTAGTTTCTTTACCACAAACATTTTTTCGTTTTTTGGCAACCTAGGGCGCGCCCTGTGTCCCATCCACCACGACCCTACAGGACAGACCCTAGTCCTGACTCCGAGTGCTTCCCTTGGGGTGAACTGACAGCCTCGCCCAAATTTTCCAGGTGCCAAGGTGTGCAATGCGCTGAGTTGCGCTCTTTATCCATTGCTAGCCATCCAGCACCGAGTGCTACAGCAGAGCTTCCCTGGCCTGTAAGGGCGGCCTCTCCCTAATTTACAGGCGGTTACAGGTTTCCTGGATGCAGACTATAACATACTGCATTATGGGCACATAGCTGGTTTGTCCCGCCCAGAGTTCTGCACCAGAGCTAGGAACCAATCATAAATAAAGGTGAATTTGCCACAGATTTCTTTTTCTTATATAATTTTATCTGGATATTCATTTTTATTTTCGGTCACACTTTAGTTTAAGGTCCAGTTCTCGCTATTAACAAACCATTAACTACAACTTTTTCCTCAATAAAATCCTAATTTGCTGCCTATTGATAGTTAGTAAGGTAGTTGTTAAGTTTAGGTATTGGGCAGGATTAGGGATGTAGAATACGGTCATGCAGAATATGTGCTTTATAAGCACTAATAATCAGCCAATATGTTAATGATAGGCATGCTAATAAGCAACTAGATAACACTGAGAATTGGTCCCTATTCTAAAGTGTTACCTTAGTTTCTTTACCACAAACATTTTTTCGTTTTTTGGCAACCTAGGGCGCGCCCTGTGTCCCATCCACCACGACCCTACAGGACAGACCCTAGTCCTGACTCCGAGTGCTTCCCTTGGGGTGAACTGACAGCCTCGCCCAAATTTTCCAGGTGCCAAGGTGTGCAATGCGCTGAGTTGCGCTCTTTATCCATTGCTAGCCATCCAGCACCGAGTGCTACAGCAGAGCTTCCCTGGCCTGTAAGGGCGGCCTCTCCCTAATTTACAGGCGGTTACAGGTTTCCTGGATGCAGACTATAACATACTGCATTATGGGCACATAGCTGGTTTGTCCCGCCCAGAGTTCTGCACCAGAGCTAGGAACCAATCATAAATAAAGGTGAATTTGCCACAGATTTCTTTTTCTTATATAATTTTATCTGGATATTCATTTTTATTTTCGGTCACACTTTAGTTTAAGGTCCAGTTCTCGCTATTAACAAACCATTAACTACAACTTTTTCCTCAATAAAATCCTAATTTGCTGCCTATTGATAGTTAGTAAGGTAGTTGTTAAGTTTAGGTATTGGGCAGGATTAGGGATGTAGAATACGGTCATGCAGAATATGTGCTTTATAAGCACTAATAATCAGCCAATATGTTAATGATAGGCATGCTAATAAGCAACTAGATAACACTGAGAATTGGTCCCTATTCTAAAGTGTTACCTTAGTTTCTTTACCACAAACATTTTTTCGTTTTTTGGCAACCTAGGGCGCGCCCTGTGTCCCATCCACCACGACCCTACAGGACAGACCCTAGTCCTGACTCCGAGTGCTTCCCTTGGGGTGAACTGACAGCCTCGCCCAAATTTTCCAGGTGCCAAGGTGTGCAATGCGCTGAGTTGCGCTCTTTATCCATTGCTAGCCATCCAGCACCGAGTGCTACAGCAGAGCTTCCCTGGCCTGTAAGGGCGGCCTCTCCCTAATTGTACAAATCTTACCTTTTGGCGACTCTTTTGTCATCTGTCGTGGTCTGTTTTATTCTGAAGATAATAACTTACCTGCAGAAGCCTCGACTTGATATTGCAGAGACGTTGTTTCACACGCTGATGTGTGTGTATATCTGTGTGTGTGTGTAAATGCAAATGTGATTTACAAAAGGACTGACTTTGAAACTAACATGCTTAAAACTTATCTTATAGTTTAACAAAAGTATTTTTGTTTGCTTTCATTCAAAATCTTACTTGTTGGCGACACTTCTGTCACCTGTTGTAGTCTCTTCTTTCTGAAGATAGTGAATTTGGCTAGATTAGTAAGAATCTAAACAGTTTACGCAGCCGGCTTCAGCATGTTCTTTGAAATGAACTGTTCAAAAGAACCGACTCACGGAATTGACTCGGAGACGTTCACTCGCTGAAAGCTGTTGTCCAATCAAAGAGCAAAACGAACGCAGTGGGCGGAGCTTCACGTTGGCTGTTGTGTTCGCAGCAGCAGTAGATTCTGCACAAGTAGTAAAGTATTACATTTAATGAGAGGGGTTGCAGGACAGGATTGGGGTGCAGATAAGCAATCATTAAAGTGTATATATATTGGACTCATGAGATCAGTTCTCGATTATGGATGTATTGTGTATGAATCTGCATCTGCAACGTTATTAAAGAAACTAGATATTATGCAAGCTAAAGCACTAAGATTGGTTCTAGGAGCAGTTAAGACGACACCAATTGCAGCAATACAGGTGGAGTCCTCAGAAATGCCTCTACATTTAAGAAGAGAAAAACTAGCCATGGCATATTGGATTAATCTTCAGGGCCAAAGAGAGGATCATCCTGTAAGAGAAGTACTTAATGAAAGTTGGGAAACAGTAAATAAACCAGGTAAAGGATTTGCATGGAAAATTAAGAAATTGATCAATGAAACTGGAATAGAATCAAATAAATTTGCATCGGTAATAGTAACTCCTCCAATAGCACCTTGGTTATTAGAACAACCGGAAGTTGACTTAAATGTACATAAATAAATTAAGGGAATGGGGGAGGGGTTTAATTTAAAAGCATACGTCAAAGAATGTATAAAAAGTATGCATTATTCATTTCTCCAAATTTACACAGATGCATCAAAGAACATAGAAACTGGAAGGACAGGTGCTGCATTTTTCATTCCAGAATTTCAGGTTAGGAAGGCTGGAAGAATTACGGATGGTAGCTACTTCTGTATATACAGCAGAGATGGTAGCTATCCTTATGGCATTAGAGTGGGTATATGAAGTAAGACCGGATAAAGTAATAATATGCTCTGACTCAATGGCAGCTCTTATGAGTTTACAATCATGGCAATCAAATAGAAAAGACATTTTAATAGAAATCATGATTACACTATATAGTATTAAACAGATAGGGATAATTACTCGGTTTATATGGGTACCTGCACATGTGGGAATTCAAGGTAATGAAGAGGTAGATAAAATGGCTAAAGAATCCTTAAATATGGATGATCCAAGTATAAATATTGCACTCAGCAGAATAGAAGGGAAACAGTTAATATTAAATGCATGCAATATTGTATGGCAGATATACTGGGACTCATGTCAAACAGGTAGGCATTATCACAAAGTACAAAGGAGTATAAAGAGAAGAAAAATCATTCATAACATAAGTAGAAGGGAACAAGTCATTTTAACACATATACGAACAGGACATTCAAATCTTAACCAAACACTATACATTATAGGGAAACATAATACTGGTCTATGTAATGTTTGTTTAACAGAGGAATCAGTGGAACACGTTATGATGGTATGTACAGCATTTGAAAGAGAAAGGGGTCCACTTAAAGATGAATTACAATCCTTAGGAGTTAAAGAATTTTCATTAAGTAGTATTCTGAATGATGGTCCAAATGCAGGAAAACAAATAAGTGCAGTCATGAGATTTCTTAAGAATTGTGGAATAATGAACAGAATTTAAGAGTTAGGTGAGAAATGGTACGTTCTCTTCACACTCCATCACAGTAGGTGGCGGTATGCACCTATGAAGTTGGTTCGCAACCCGCCATAAAACCAAAAGAAGAAGAAGATTCTGCACAAATTCTATCGCGAATTTAACGAGCTTTTTGGTAATCATTTGAAATCCCACCACAACCAGCCTTTAAACTGGGAAAGTCTAGTTTTTGTTGACCGGACCAAGAAATTCAGCAAGCAACCCGGTCGCTCTGCTTGGTAAATATTGTCAGTGTTATGTATGTTGTTGGTGTGCTGTAGTTAACGTTAGCAACATTAGCAGCCTGTTTATGATCCGAGTGCCTTTGCTTATTTCGTTAACGAAATCTATAAAACTAGTCTATTAAACAACTAGTTAATGATGACTTTAAGATCATCCTGGTATGTATTGATGTAGTATGATTTGACGTTTAAGACTTTAACAAGCGATCTAGCAGGACGTTCTGCAATCTAGTGTAGTTCGCATACTATCCGTACTCAGATGATAAGTGCGCCCCAAACCTGAGAAATAGTATGTATGAGATACCCGGATGGCCTACTCTATTCTGTTTTATGAAAATAGAAAGTCAGCAAGGACAAAGGTTTTAATTTTAAAATATGGTTTAAATGTTACACATGCAGGGCCCTATGTGTGGAATTTGGGATGAGGCACCGGGCCCTGTGACAAATGGGCCACAAACCATCTTTTTTGCTACAAAGTGACATGCTATGAAGAGGTGAAAGGTAATTGATGCATCGTTTTACAGTATGAATATATTTGAAGTGTGAAGGGTCCCACGCTTAAAACTTTTTGGCTCTGTGAATTTACAAGATGCGCGTGTTGTTATTAATTAAACACTGGCACATTTCAGAATTTGGCGTGATGTGTGAAATCAAGGATTTTAGAAGCAAGGACAAAGGGTTAATTGTCAAAGTATGTTTTAGATGTTACAGAAGCAGGGCTCTGTGTGTGGAATTTGGGAAGTGGCCCCGGGCCCCACAAATCAATTGATGGTACAAATTGGCATGCTTGCCTCAAAGATGTAAAAATATGTACAGTATTGCATTACTGTATGAATACGCCTGTGGGGTCCACACATAAAGCTTTTTGTCGCTGTGAATTTACCAGATACTAGTGTTGTGTAAAAAAGTTGCGTTATTAATCTGAATGCGGGATGACGTGAAATTGAGGCTGATAGAAGTGTGTCAGACCAGTGTTATTTTAGTATCATGGATATACTATTTTAGTTTTTATTATATTTTGTTTATTTTTTAAATATTTTTATATTTTAATTTTAGTTAGTTTTAGTAATTTTGTTGCTTTTGCAATTATTATTATTATTATTTATTTTTATTTTAGTTCATCAAGTTAAACCAAAAGAAAATGAGAAATGATATCTTCAACTAGTTGAAATAATTTTAAATATTTTCTATATTTGAATTTGAATTTTTTTTTTTATATATATATATTTTCTATATTTTCGATTATCTGTTAACGTTTATTTTATTTCAAGTAACACATTTTTTATTTTTATTTTTTGTACGGTTTGGTTTTAAAGGAATAGTTCACCCAAAAATGAAAAATCTGTCATGATTTACTCACACTCAGGTTGTTCCAAACTTGTATGAATTTCTTCAAATTCTTAATTGCTTCTATTAAGATTAAGAATTTTGATAACCAAACAATTAATGGTAGCCATTGACTTCCATAGTATTTTTTCTATACTATGGAAGTCAATGGCTACCGTCAACTCATACAGGTTTGTAACAACTTGTTGAGGGTGAGTAAACCATGACAGAATTTTCATTTTTGGGTGAAGTATCCTTTAAATTTTAGTTTTAGTGAATGATGATAACCCTGTTTCAGCCCTTAATTCTTGCTTGTGGTGTCTCCTGCAGAACATATTTGAGGATGGAGGATATGGAGGTGGAAGTAGCTCCAGTATCCAGTGAGGCCAGTGTGATTGTAGTCTCTGAATCTGAAAGCAGCACAGAAGAAGAGGATGTTCCCATGCAGGTTCAAGGCCTGTCTGATCGACCCAGACTATCAGGCTTTCGGGTGGTCAGGAGGAGACATATAATTGGGTAAGAGAACGCAGCAGCTGGACCATCAAACTGCAGCTTTTTTCCCCAAGTATGGTTGCAGGAATTTCTTTAGAATTCCCTAAATTGAGTTAATGCTTATAAAAGTCAAGAACAACAGGTTCACTTACTTTTCTCTGCAACAACAGTATGGAGTCGTTGTATGACTTGATCTTTCTGATTTCCTTCCTCTCTTCAAGTTCACGGACGCAGTTCTCTCCGCGTGAAGAGAGAATCCGCAGACTCCGGGAGTTCATTGTAGAGAATCTGGCAGAGCGGCTGATTGGCTCCCAGGACGCACAGCATTCAGTTCCTCACGCAAATCCACAAGCGCTGGCTCCTGAACCCAGGTCCAGACTCACCGCTACTGTTGTGAATGAATCCAGCGCTACAGGTCCACTGCCATTTCAGTTCTCATTTCATCCCATTTCATCCCATATATTTTCCCAGCTATCTTTTAAATCAGGGGTGTCCAAACTCAGTCCTGGAGGGCCGGTGTCCTGCAGAGTTTAGCTCCAACCCTAATTAAACACACCTGAACCAGCTAATCAAGCTCTTACTAGGCATAGAAACTTCCAGTAAGGTGTGTTGAGGCAAGTTGGAGCTAAACTCTGCAGGACACCAGCCCTCTAGGACCAAGTTTGGACAGCCCTGTTTTAAATGATTTAGTTAAAATTAAGTAACTATATGACAGTTTACTATTAGAATTGCTGGTATCATTTTTGATAATAAAAGAAATTGACATAATCTTAAACTTATAAAATAGGAGATGCACAATATATCATTACAGGGGTCATATGATGCGATTTCAATTTTTCCTTTCTCTTTGGAGTGTTACAAGCTCTTGGTGCATAAAGAAGATCTGTAAAGTTGCAAAGACTAAAGTCTCAAATCCA